TTAACAACTTTTATAAACCTAGTACTATATTAATCATGTAATGGTTGCCTTATAAATAAGTTAAAAAATATAAAATAACAGACTTTATGAAAACTAAAAACATTCAATTACGATAATAATATAGATTTATATTATACAGTCTACAGTTAATTTTTTAAGTTGTCAAACAGCTATGTTAACTCTTTTACAGGGTGGAGATTAATGAACTTCATTAAAACAAGGTCGAATATCTCGAAAAGTATTTGGTCTAATAGTAATTAATCATTATTAATGATATATCAAAATACTCATCAACTGCGGGACTTTGTGTAATAATATGGTCACTATTGCTGGAGTGTTGTATTGCTGGACCTCTAATTTTAGATATCATTTAAAACAATACTTCAAAAAATGATAGCTAAAAATATACGAATGTAAAAATTAACATAATGATTTTATTGACAACAATTCGTCACATAATTATATTTAATGACAATATTATTGCAATACATTTAAAAGGTATTTACAGTATACATAATAGTTGAATTGTAAGTATAATTAAAATTGAACACACGTTATGAATATGATCATAAAGCATTTACCAATCATTCATAAGCATATACATAGATGGATGACCAACATGTGGATCGTGGTTCTCGATGTCAACTATTTTTATAAAAGTTGAAAATTTATTTGGAGTTCTATTCTTCGTAATCCGCATCCTTTGATGTCCTATAATATAATTAATCAATTCATAAATATTCTATAAATATTATTTGTATTCTTACCGATTATATTCTTTTTAGATTTATGAATTATCTTTGTAACCATCTTCGGTGCAAATTTCATCTTTTGTTTACTACTAGTTAAATGTACAGAAAATTTATTTCTGCGCGTGAAGTTACTAGAATTACCAGTAATATTGTAGGCGTTATTCAATAGAATTGTATTGTAATGAAAAGTGTCAAGTTTTGAGTTAATTAGTTGTTGGGTTTTTCTTTTAATATGAGCTGGATCATTCGGTAAAAATGCTAAATTACTTGTTATTATAGTTGAATTGTTTGGTAAAATTGTAGCGTCGCTCATTATAATAGTTGTAATGTTTTGTTTGATTGTAGAATTACTTGTAATATTAGTTGAATTATTCGGTAAAATTGTAGAATTACTCGTAATATTAGTTGTATTATTTGGTAAAATTATAGAATTACTTGTAATATTAGTTGAATTATTCGGTAAAATTGTAGAATTACTCGTAATATTAGTTGAATTATTCGGTAAAATTGTAGAATTACTTGTAATATTAGTTGAATTATTCGGTAAAATTGTAGAATTACTCGTAATATTAGTTGTCTTGTTTTGTTTGATTGTTGAATTATTTGTTATAATAGTTGTATTATTTGGTAAGATTGTAGAATTACTCGTAATATTATTTATATTGTTTGAATTGCCTGTTGAATTAGTTATTATAATAGTTGTATTGTTTTGTTTGATTGCAGAATTATTTGTAGTATTAGTGGCATTAATCGGTAAGATTGTAGAATTACTCGTAATATTAGTTGTCTTGTTTAAATTGATTGTAGAATTATTTGTTATAATTGTTGTATTGTTTGGTAAGGTTGCAGAATTATTTGTAATATTAGTTGAATTGTTTTGCTTGATTGTAGAATTACTTGTAATATTAGTTGCATTATTCGGTAAGATTGCAGAATTACTCGTATTATTAGTTGTCTTGTTTGAATTAATTGTAGAATTATTTGTTATAATAGTTGTATTGTTTGGTAAGGTTGCAGAATTATTTGTAATATTAGTGGCATTAATCGGTAAGATTGTAGAATTACTCGTAATATTAGTTGTTTTGTTTGAATTGATTGTAGAATTATTTGTTATAATAGTTGTATTATTTGGTAAGGTTGCAGAATTATTTGTAATATTAGTTGTCTTGTTTGAATTAATTGTAGATGTATTATTTGGTAAGGTTGCAGAATTACTTGTAAAATTAGTTGCATTATTCGGTAAGATTGTAGAATTACTCGTAATATTAGTTGTTTTGTTTGAATCGATTGTAGAATTATTTGTTATAATAGTTGTATTATTTGGTAAGGTTGCAGAATTATTTGTAATATTAGTGGCATTAATCGGTAAGATTGTAGAATTACTCGTATTATTAGTTGTCTTGTTTGAATTGATTGTAGAATTATTTGTTATAATAGTTGTATTATTTGGTAAGGTTGCAGAATTACTCGTAATATTAGTTGAATTGTTTTGCTTGATTGTAGAATTACTTGTAATATTAGTTGCATTATTCAGTAAGATTGCAGAATTACTCGTATTATTAATTGTCTTGTTTGAATTGATTGTAGAATTATTTGCTATAATAGTTGTATTATTTGGTAAGGTTGCAGAATTACTTGTAAAATTAGTTGCATTATTCGGTAAGATTGTAGAATTACTCGTAATATTAGTTGTTTTGTTTGAATCGATTGTAGAATTATTTGTTATAATAGTTAGAATTATTTTGTTTGATTGTAGAATTATTTATTATTATAGTTCCATTATTCGGTAAAATTGTAGAATTACTCGTAATATTAATTGTATTGTTTGAATTGATTGTAGAATTATTTGTTATAATAGTTGTATTATTTGGTAGGATTGCAAAATTACTCGTAATATTAGTTGAATTGTTTTGTTTGATTGTAGAATTATTTGTAATATTAGTTGCATTATTCGGTAAGATTGCAGAATTATTTCTAATATTAGTTGTATTGTTTGAATCGACTGTTGAATTATTTGTTATAATAGTTGTAGTAATTGGTAAGGTTGCAGAATTACTCGTAATATTAGTTGTATTATTTGGTAAGGTTGCAGAATTACTTCTATTGTAATATTAGTGGCATTAATCGGTAAGATTGTAGAATTACTCGTATTATTAGTTGTCTTGTTTGAATTGATTGTAGAATTATTTGTTATAATAGTTGTATTATTTGGTAAGGTTGCAGAATTACTTGTAAAATTAGTTGCATTATTCGGTAAGATTGTAGAATTACTCGTAATATTAGTTGTTTTGTTTGAATCGATTGTAGAATTATTTGTTATAATAGTTTTATTGTTTTGTTTAATTGTAGAATTACTTGTAATATTAGTTGTCTTGTTTGAATTGATTGTAGAATTAATTTTAATATTAGTTTCGTTTGAATTAATTGTAGAATTATTTGTAATATTAGTTGCATTATTCGGTAAGATTGCAAAATTACTCGTATTATTATTTGTATTGTTTGATAAGATTGCAGAATTAATTTTAAAATTAGTTTTGTTTGAATTGATTGCAGAATTACTCGTAATATTAATTGAATTGTTTTGTTTGATTGTAGAATTATTTGTTATAATAGTTTCATTACTGAATAAGATTGTAGAATTACTCGGAATATTAGTTGTATTGTTTGGTAAGATTTCTGAATTACTCGTATTATTAGTTGCATTATTCGGTAAAATTGTAGATTTACTTGTATTATTAGTTGTATTGTTTTGTTCAATTGTAGAGTCATTTATTATAAAACGTTTACTATTTGATAATAGTGTAGAATTATTTTTTATTAAAGTTGTATTATTTGGCAAAATTGTAGAATTATTCAATATAATAGATATATTGTTCGTTGAAATTATAGTATGGCCAATAACCTTTGTTGTATTACTTGGTAGACCTGTTATAACAACAAATGATTAGGTGTATTATCTGAACATTTAGATGTCATTCAGCTTTCACGAGCCAAGTTTAAAAGTTCTCAATTATTACTCTAATATTGAATTTCTTGTAATTTAGATAAATTATGTTTCACACTAGTGCTCCAAATGTTAGCTAAAACACATTCCTGTCCCGTCCTGTCCTGAAGATATCTATTCCCGTCTCGTCCCGATCCTGTACTAAATGTCAAAATATTTTCCTGTCCCGTCCTGTCCTGTCCTGTAATTTCCTGTAAATCCTGTCGGCATATATAAAGGCTTCCCATATTCATTGGCGCCTATCGTTTGGCTAAAACAAGGCTTTATTTGAAGTCTCATACGCTCTCGTAGGCGCCGTACAGTCGGATCCCTTTGTATTCTACATAACCATATCATACAGTACTTGCAAATACTGAAATTAATTTTCAAAAAATATTTTATTGCACTTTCCTGTATTTTCCTGTCTTAAACCCATTCCCGTCCCGTCCTGTCCTGAAGCTATCCATTCCTGTCCCGTCCCATTCCAAGTACTTGCAAATACTGAAATTAATTTTCAAAAAATATTTTATTGCACTTTCCTGTATTTTCCTGTCTTAAACCCATTCCCGTCCCGTCCTGTCCTGAAGCTATCCATTCCTGTCCCGTCCCATTCCTGTAAGCATAGGGAAAATCTTTTCCTGTCCCGTCCCAATCCTGTACAGGAATGGGACGGGACAGGAATTTACAGGATTCACGTCTTGTTTTTGGGAGACTATTTCACACAGTACTGCATGCTATACGCCGTATTTCCGCGATCACCAAAATAGTCATACCTAGGTGGGTTCTTATTATAAGCCCGACATATTTATATTTAATTGTTAACCACAATTCTGTTATGAATAATGTGGTTTATAAGATCGTTCGGCTACCCCTCCCCTCCTCCTCCACCTTATGATATTTAACATCGGATTACAACATAAGTCTATGGCAATGCTAATCATATGTGTAATGTTTAGTCTAGGGTGTTATACTGGAAATTACTAATTAGTATTTTCAGTATTAATTATAAGTTTTTCACAAATAATTTTGATACTTAATATATTTTTCAATAATGACTTATTTCTCAATATTAATAATCAGTAATTTTCCATTAATTGCTTTCAGCCAATCAATGATTAGTTTTTGTTTCTCACCTTGTGTGAAATATACTCTGCTATATAAGCAGTGAAAATTGTAATGCAAATCAGTTCCCAATTATACCTCAAATAAAACTGTTCAATAAAAACATTGATTAAAACAAATGCCTTTGTTTTGTAATTTTTGTCTTAGCCTACAATTGGCCGTAGGCTGGGATAAGCTCTGAGGGCGACCAAAGGCAGTGAACAGTGAGGTTCCGTCGGGAGACGTCTGACCGAACATTCGGTCTGAATTGGTTTACTTCCGCTTCCGGTAGTGAACCGAATCCCTATCAAAGCTCTACCACTAGAGTGCGCGCCGCGCGCTCTCACCGCTACACTCTATTTACCGATTTGTACCGATTATCACCGCAATCAGTGTTTGACTGGAATTTCGAGCATAACAAGGGCAATGATAATCCTATGTGTAATTTTAAGTCTAAGATACTAATGCTAATCCTATAGACACTGTTAATCGTATGGGACAATTGAATTTAGTAGTGATAAATCTATGAACAATGATAACTCTATGGGCAATGCTGAGTCTATGACAGTTCTGAGTTTATGGCATTGTTAAGTCTATAAGACTAATGCTAATCCTATGCATCACCCAAATTGTGGTTAACGTATAGCATCTCTGTGTGTGAGTTGTTTCATATGACCTAAACTATCAGAATATCGATATTAGATTAAAAACCGAGACCAAGATTTGTTACACTACTGTATGCTCGTTAGCAGCAACTAATTTTTTTATCATTGAAATAAAATATATAATATTTAAAAGATCTGTAGTTTGTGTTGAATAGTTAGTTTGAATTACCTTGATTATTTGCAGGATAACTGGTATTGCGATCATTTGTTTCAGTAGTTATATTAGTCTCGACGCCCAGAAGTTGTTGTTTTTCTTTAATTGTATCGCTTTTATTATAATTAACTGATTGTTGTATTTGTTGTTTGTTGTTAACAGAGGGCCACTCATTGCACAATACGTTTGCAGACCAAACAATTAATGTGTACCTTATATAAAATGAAAACACAATCATTTTAAATGTAGTAATATTTAATTTAATTTAGTAAAACATATGGTTTAATTTGTTTTGCAAATACACAGATGGAATATGCTTATATAAACTATAAGTGGGGTTGTTAGTAAGTCACATGGTACTTTACATTAACGTGTCGCAAAGACATTGTATGTTACGTTTTGCCGTAATATAGCAGTATTCGGACATTTCTTTACTAATAGAACATTGTTTTGGCCGTTGTTTCGGACCATTAAAGTGAGAATATTGTAGTTTCGGTTCATAAAGAAAAATTAATCCAATAAATGAAAGCTTTTATAAAACGTTTGGTTTTGTGTAAAAGCATTGTTTGTAATGTTTTACATACAACAAAAAGTCACGTTTTAAGAGTAACAATAAATGACACAGCGATGCTATACACTAACCATAATACGGGTAATGCTCAAAAGATCCCATAGACTTTCTATTAGATCATAGGAAAAGCATTACCCATATACTTAGTTCATTAAATTAGTATTGTCTATAGGATTAGCATAAGTTCTATAGACTTAACATTACTCATGTTAAACATATGTTTTCGTTAGGGTTAAACTGTAATTCCATAGAACCCCATTGAAAATTCTTCCCATAGGATAAACATTACCCATATGATAACATTAGCCCCATGTTAAAGTATAGCCACAAACCAATCCCATGTTAAATGCTATAGAGGGCGGAAGGGGGGACCGAACGATCCTATAAACCACATTATTCATCGCTTAATTGCGGTTTTAAAAATGGTAGACAATTGATAATTCGGATACCGGGCATGACTATTTATTTTTACCACATTAACCCCACTCCTCCATAAACGGGCGATCCGTTAGTTTTTAATTAATTGATAAAATGAAATATAATACAGTACAGTAATAGTTTAAAACACAATAAAGTTTATTATTTAAATTATATAACGTTTAAATAACAACAATTGTTATTATTAAAAAAAATATTCATACATTAATAAAATAATTTTCTTATACATATTACAAGGTTAGTATTAAATTAATAACCCTATAATTATAACAGGTTATTAAATTAGTTTAAATAACATGATTAAATATTTAAGAACCAATTAAATTATTTGCTAATACAATGTAATCCTTTACTACAGTGAAACATCTATGTTATCAACAAAATGGAGCAGGGGAATTTGGTTGATAACATAGAGGAGTTGACAAGATAGAGGTTAATTTAACATTATGTACTGTGGGTTTGGTTTTGGGATTTGGTTGATAACATAGAGGAGTTGACAGCATAGATGATTGACAAGACAGAGGTCTGACTGTATAACTTATAACTTATTACTGCTTTAACTTTTTTGAGAACCAATATTGATTTGAACACACTTTTTGTATTAACTTTACTACAATACTAACAACTTGTTACAATTGTAAAAAACTGTAAATGAATCTAAAAGGTGTTTTTTTTGTAATTAATCGTGAGAGTTAAAGAATTTAGATAATGTGTAGAAATTTAAGGAATTTGAAGGAATTCTTGTATAGAAAATATTACTTTAAAATACAGAATTTAGTATTATTTTTAAGCGAACTATGCATGTTTCATTACTAAAAATATTTTCTAATTGAAATTATTATTAATTTGAAAATTTAAAAAATCGCAACAAATAATCAAGAATATAGCGAAGCCGACCAAACCATTAAGTATGTGATCACACTTTTGTACATTTTAAACGATGAAAATCATATTTGAGAGTATTATAAATAATGTTCTCATATTTGAATTTTATTTATTTGATTCGCGGATATTTGTCCACAAATTGCTGAAATTTGACTCAACATTCATATCGATATCTTTGATGTTTTCATAAATTGTTAAGTTATTGTCGTCTTCACCGGTAATCATAGAATTTTGTATTTGTGTCTCAATTGTATTTTCTTCGTTCAAACGTTGATTTTTGAATTCAATTTTATCAATCGATTGCTTATCATTTGATTCACTCAATACTTGACTGCTATTTGTTTTGTCTGTCTTATGGCTTACATTTGAGTGATTGGTTGTCGTATAATCACTATTATCTTCGGTTGTGTTTTCATCGGCACTACTTTTGTGGGCAAAGATGACATCAGGCGTTGAACAGACAGCTGAGGCCGACTCGGATTCATTGTTATCATCGGTTGTGTTAACATTAAAGTGAAAATTTTCAATCGTAATAATACTTTCGTTGGGTTCGGAACCGTATTGATTGGCTTTCATCTGATAATAACTGTGTTTATGATTGACGGGTGAAATGGACGGAGAAGTGGATGAACTCGAGGTGATCTCATCGTCGCTATAGTCTCGCGTTAACTCAGTTCGAGATATAGTTTTTCGTTTGACACCCATTTTCATAGTCTTTGATATTCTTCTCTTGATTTGGTCGTCATATTTATCTTTGAATGTTTTGTGACCACTCTTTCCACTCTTTCCCGCCTGAGATGACGGCTCTGGAGATGAGATTATTTTTGGTAAATCTCCGAATGAATTCAAATACGATTTTGGATTTTGAGCCTCAGGATAGTTGGACCAAAATACAGGATCTGTTGATTAACATTGCTTTATGGTAAATGCTTTATAATTTAATATGCTAAAGATAAGTTCTAATTACTTTGATTAAATAATGTTTAGTATATTGTTACAGCAATACAATGTATATTGTTAAGACAATTATTTATAGGTATAACCTTAAAGAGAATACAAAAATATTTACCCAATTTGTCGGTAAAATCTTGATTGTTGTCATTTGTGTGATTAGACAAGTCTTTTGGTGATAATTGTTGAGAAGTTTGTTCGCAAAGATTGTCGTCAAAGTTTTCACAATAGTTGGTACTTTCGATAGTAATTTCGGGCACTTGTTTGCCGTCGGCATAGTTTGCAGGCGTTGTCACCGAATCGGGTGTTTTCATGAACACCGATAGTATTGCCGACAAAATGGCGAGGAATGCACCCGATGTGGACGCAACCACACCAATCATCAGCAATATTACTCCGATTGGCGCAAACAATGTCAGCATTATTATACCTATTATCCAATTATGAGCATTACAATTAAAAGTAGGTTAGAGGCTTTCAAAGGGGGAACGAAAACGGGGGTAGCTAGCCGACTTCTGACTTCGAAAAACGTTTAAGCACAACATATTCTTCAATTCCAATATTCGATTTCCCCGAAATTCGACTTTATTTT